GGAGGGGGCGCCCCTGCCCCGGTGCCCCTCACCCCGACAAGGGGAGGAGGAAGTGCAGCGGGAAGAGGAGTTTCACCCGCGGTTTCCGGGGAGTCCCCTCCCAACTGGCTTGAAAACCCAGCCTGATGACATCCTTGCGGCCCCCGGCCCCGAGTGGGGGCTCCACCCTGGGGTCCTGGAGGCCCCTTCCCAGAGCCAGTGGGCGGCCTGGCTCTGGGGTCGGGAGCAGCCTAGGATTTCACAGGGACTGGAAACATCCAGGGGGACACGGGGCTGCCTGGCCCCTGTGCTTGGCGGTTCGGAGAGGCACGGTAATTTCTGTCCTGGAGCACCCCTGGAGGGACGGAGGAGCAGAGGTGATCCCAGGTAGGCTGACCAGAGGAGGGCCAAGACCTGGTCACCCACTGGTCCAGTGGCCTGCACCCGGCTCCGGGTTGTGTTCAGCCTCCCACCCCTGTCCTTTGGTATCTGGCTGGCAGACTCAGACCAGTAGAGATCCCCGCTCTTGTCCTCTTACCACTGGACTGTCTCTGCCTGCCCACGGACTGTCCTGCTCTCCAGCCACACTTCCTCCTCCCAAACTTCCCTCCAGGAAGTGGAGGGCAATGCAGGCACACCCAGCTCAGGGCTTGGACCATGTCTCACTCAGCCTCGCTCCTGAAGGGCCCCTCGCTCAAGTCCGGGTTAGAGCCGGAGGGGAAACCCAGAGCAGCCATGGCCGTGACCCTCCCCGCACCTGGTGGGACGGCTTTCTGGGTGGCCTCCGGGGTTGCTGCACTGAATCGGTCCTTATGGTGTTTTCACAGGGCACTGCAGTCCCGGCCCCCAGCCTGGCATAGGGCAGTTTCTCAGCTAAGATCTGTTCAGGGAGCCCATGTCACTACCCTGCTCTCCCAGTATGGAGCAGAAGCTGGGTTCCAGCTGCAGAGCGCCGGCACTACCCTGGCCTCTCCCTGGCCTCCTCCTCCTTCCCCTTCCTGGCCAAGTGCCCTGAGGCCATGGCTGCTTCTCCCTGCGCCCCTGGGGCTGCCACCTCCCTTCCTTTGCGCTGGTTCTAGAACATCCATCCAGCCTGAAGCAGGAGCCCAGGTCTTACTGTCAGGTTCCTCTGTGAGCCTGGAGCCCGCTTGTCCCGTGTGTCCTCAGCACATGCAGTCCTTGCCATTTGTCTGTCACAAGCAGGAAGGAGCCCTCAGGCCACCCTTGAGAGCCACAGTGTCTTCAGCTCTTGCTGCTGTGGACCTTTAGTGGGGCACAACACCCCCAAGACAGCAGACATCAGGAAGTTAATTTATAGCCGAGCCCAGAAGAAGGGGAGGAGAGTGGTGGGGGTGCTCTGGCTTTTGTGGAAGGGTCTGGGGGCCCTGTGTTAGAGGAGCTGTGGGGGTCGGGGTCCAGGCTGCACAGCAGCAACGAGCCTCCGGCCTCTACAGCAAGGCTGGCTTCACTGTGGTCCTAGAGCTGAGGAGGCCTTGGATAGTGGTAAATGTGAAACCGTCCTGTGGCGCCATCCTTAGCCAGAGACCAGGCCTGCTGGGCAGGAGGAAGTGAGAGGGAGGGCGAGGCCCCAGCGCTCACGCTCGGGGTGGGGGTGGAGCTGCTGGCCGGGCAGAGACGGAGAAGGGCGGTCCGCCGTCTGCCGGGAGCGCAGAGCGCGTTCACGTGGGGGGTGTGCAAGTAAAACTCACAGACTCACTCGCGGGCATTGGAAGAAGGCCACAGCGATAGGCATGATGGCAAGGCGGTCAGAACCCGGGTCAGGGGTGCTGCCGAGAACCAGCATGGAGCGTGTGCTGGGGGAGGGGAGGTGGGAGAGTAAGTGTGAGAGAAGCCAGGTCCTTTTCAGATAAGTGGAAAGAGATTCTTCCTTGGATCGAGAAAAGAGGCCAGGGATTTAGCTCAGTGGTTCCGCCGCCTGCCCCGCAAGCATAAGGTACTGAGTTCAATCCCTGGTACCAAAAATAAGGAGAAGAGAGCTGGAGATGTAGCTCAGTGGCACTGCACCTGCCTTGCAAGTGCAAGGTCCAGAGTTACATATGGGTTAGTACCAGGCTGCAGACTTCTCAACATCGGAGACAGGTGACAGAAGACACTGAGATCACATTTTAGGCTCTGGGAGAAAAAGCTTCACTCCACGACTCAGCACCGCAGACTCACTCAAGCAGGACCAGGTTCAGATTCGGGGCCGACAGACCTTTGCCACAGACTCCCACAGCTTGCACCTCAGCAAGAGTGAAACCAAATGCGGGAGAAGAAGGAACTGGGATGCGGGACAGGAGCCTTGGTGAATTAGTATCAATTGTAAATAATTAATGAGAATGAGTAATTTGGGCTGTGAATGAAGGCAAACTTTAAATCCCATCTGTGGCTCAGGAAGAGGCACTTTGAAGCACGTAACCCTAAGTATTGCTGGGAATTGATTTTAAAATATAAGGGCAAATCGTGAGTGCCTTGACATTCTGTGCCCTCATCGGAAACGTAGTACACCACTGCCTTTGAGAATCTCCAAGTCCAAGGGAGCCTTGGCACCGACTCCCAAGTAGAAGGACAAAGACCTGATGCCAGCCAAGTAGCCCGAGTGTGGGCACCTGTGAGACCTCAAATGCCAGCACCCCACCGGGGCCCGGCTAGACCCTGGTGAAGGAAGACTGAGAAATACTTATTCTTGGGATGCTGGGCAGACACCAACAGGACCCCCTCGGTGACAGAATGTGACAAGGACAGCGGCGTCCTGGGGAGGACAGGAAAGGGCAGGAGAGCCAGCTGGGACCAGGCACAGCCTCCATCTGCTCCCTGTCCTGACCTTCAGCTTCTGCAGAGAATTTCATAACGTGGGGGAAGAAGTGTTAAAATGTAACCCCGGACACAGCTTCTACAGCTGTGCCAGGAAACGGGCTTGAATGAAGCTGGGTAGGTGATCAGAAAGCAGAAGCAACAAGACCTGTTCTCGAGAGAACACAAGCTGGGTGTGGTGGCTCACGCCTGTAATCCCAGCTCTCTGGGAGGCTGAGGCAGGAGGATTGCTGAGTTCAAGACCAGCCTGGGCTACGTAGTGAGTTCCAGGGCAGTCTGAACTAGATAATGAGACCCTATGTCAAAAAACTAAGAAAAAAACAAAATAAAAATAGAAATGGGGCTGATGAATGCTGTTGCGAAGAGGCAGAATAGATGACAGACCCTACCCCCAAAAAGAAAAGGTGCAGACACAGCACGAAGTGAGGCTTGACAGTAAGGTGGAGCTGAGCAGGGCTGTGGAGGGCACAGTGCCAGTGATGGGCACAGACGGTGCAGTGAGGCTCTGCGTGACGAGGAGGAATCACGAGGTCCAGGTGGGTGCGGTGTGGGCTGGCCAGTGTGGCTGACGTCCCCGTGTGGGCACCAGCGTGCCCACCGCCCACGGGGACCCACCTCCCACCCGCTTCATCTCAGGGGCAACACGAGGCCTGGTGGCCCTAGGGAGGGGGCCAGGTGGGCAGCACCCCTGACCCCCCCGCAGTCCTCATCACAGGAGGCATCGTGGCCACCGCCGGACGCTTCGCCCAGTGGTACTTCGGTGCCTACTCCATGTATCCTTCCTCAGACCCAGGGCTGGGCGGGAACGCACAGCTGTGGCCAGGTCTGTGAACCGCGAGGCTGCCCAGCTGTGTGACCTCCGGGAGTGGCCGCCCCTCTCTGTTCCCTTGTGTGTGGGGCTGCCTGGTCCTTAACTGAGCTGCAGCGTGGCAGGGGTGTTCGTGTGCCTGCTGGAGTACCCTCGGGGCAAGAGGAGGAAGGGCTCCACCATGGAGCGCTGGTGAGTGGTCTGTGCAGGGCCGGGTGGGCGCTGGGGGCCGCGTGGAGCCAGCCTGACCTCAATCTGCTCCCACCCTGCAGCGGGCAGAAGTACATGGCGGCTGTGGTGAAGCTGTTTGGGCCCCTGACCAGGAACTACTATGTCCGGGCGGTGCTGCACCTGCTGTGAGTTCGTGGGGTGGGGATGGGGCCTGAGGGATGGACGGGAGGCGTATGTCCTGGCTCCTGACAGACAGCCTGTCCTCGGTTCAGCACCCCTGCCAGGCTGCGGCGGGACCAGCCTCCTGGTGCAGAGCTGGCTGGGCCCATGGGAGGCTGATGCCTGGGCCCCGTGCAGTCTGTCCTGCCCTGGTTCTGCGGCTCAGCGCCCAGCCCTCATGGCTCCCGTGTCTGCCCCTGCCCACCCAGGCTGTCAGTGCCTGCAGGCTTCCTGCTGGCAACCATACTGGGAACCGTGTGCCTGGCCATTGCGAGCTGCATCTATCTGCTGGTGAGTGGTGTTCTTGTGCCCCCGCCCCTCCACGTCCTGGGCCCCGTCCTTGGCCCTCGTGGCTGGCGCTGAAGGAAGTGCCAAAGGTGTGAGTCTGTGCCCGCCCCGGTCACCAGGCTGTCCCTTCCCTTTCCCAGTCCACACCATGGCCCTGCAAGTGCGGACGAGTGAAGGGCGGTTCACAGTGGTGACGGGGCTGGCCCAGGTCATAGTGGTCCATTTCCAGAACCTTTCTCATCGAAAGGTCTCTGCTCCAATGTGCGGCTGAGCCGGGAGGAGTTCACGACATAAGCCAGGGTCTTCACACCGAGCTCCATCCCCACCCCTTTATTTTTTATTTCTATTTCTATTTCTGTATTTCGGTTTGGAGACAAAGTCTCGCTCTTTGGTTCAGGCTATCCTTGAACTCACTAGCCCAGGCTGGCCTCAAACCCTCAGCAGTCCTCCTGCCTCAGTCTCCTGAGTGCTGGGATTGCAGGTGGTACCGCCACACCTGGCTTATTTTGAAACAAGGTTTTGCTGAGTCTCTATAAACCACCAAGCTGGGGTTGAGTGTGCAATCCTCCTACCTCAGCCTCCCAAAATGCTGGGATTCAGGCGAGCTAGAATGACCTGCTTGGTCAGCTCTCAGGTAGTGCTGTGCCCTGTTGTCATGGGTACGGCTCCCTCCCGACCCCTTTCCACAAGACCCCCCACTGCAAGGAGCCTTCTGGCCCTCGCTGTGAGCTTGCATGTGCCAGGCGTGTGCACGCAGGACGCGGCCCCGTGTCCCAAGCTCTCGGTCCTCCTGTATCTATCCTGGCTGCCCGCTGTGGCAGGGCTCCAGCTGTGTGTCCCCTGGGGCTGTACTGCAGGCCGAGCGAGGGCTGCTGGGATTGGCCAGCTCTGCCACTGGCCCAAGGACAACGTGCCCCCGGGTGCCCACCCCCACCCCGCATGCTGCTTGCCTGCTCTGGTTGCATCTGCTTGCGACGACCTGCAACTCCCCAGCCTGGGCCCGGGTGTGCCTGCCTTGCGGCTCCGGTTTGGCTGCTGTTCGGGTGCTAGGCATCCTAGACCTTCCTCTGTGACAGGTGCTCGCTTTGCCGGCAGAGCCCTTCGAGGACGCCAGGGCGGCCGTCTGTCCATCTGCGCGCTTGCTTGTCCGTCTCCAGGGCAGCAGGGCTGCTTCTGCCAACGCCAGCTCCGCAGGTGCAGCTGGGGGTGGCAGGACTGCGGCAGAGCTGACGCTGGGACCCAGGCCGGGCGCTGCTCTGTGGTGCACAGCTCAGGCCTGTGGCTATTGCCCAGGAATCTGGTGTGGGGGTCAGGACTCTGCACCCTGCAGGCATCTGTGTTGACCCCTGGGTTGGGAGAGCAAGTGGTGTCAGCCCCAGGCTGCTCTGTCTCAGGCCCTGGAGGAGGCTGGGAGCTGCTGTGGGTCTGCGATTTTTCAGCAGGAAGCGGCCTCCAGGGTCTGGAGAAGCCCACGGCTCTCTGCTTTCCCCTGTGGGGCCCTGGCCTGGCCAGGTGGCTGGTCTGGCAGGCCCAGGCCCTGGCTGTGTGGCCTCAGGTCAGCTGCTTGACCTCTTTGAGCCTACCTGTCACTCACCGAGTCAGACTTGTGTCCACCCTGGGACCCTGGCAGGGAGAGGCCAGGCTGGCAGCTGGCAGCAGGGCACCCCTCTGTCCCCAGGCGGCCATTCGTGGTGAGCAGTGGATGCCTATTGAGCCCAAGCCCAAGGAGCGGCCACAGGTGGAAGATATCAAGCAGCCACCCAGCAACCCTCCGCCCCGGCCTCCAGCCGAAGCCCGCAAGAAGCCCAGTGAGGAGGTGGCAGCATCGGCTGGTGGTGGTCCTCAGGACAACCCCATGCCGGTGACAGAGGAGGTGGTGTGACCCTAGCCTAGAGCCCGCCTGTGGCCGTCACCGTTGCCAGGTGGCCACTAGAGGGCACTGTGGCCACCACAATAAACATGGTGACCGGCACCTGTGTGCGGCTCTTCCTGGGGTCTGGAGGCCGTCTGCAGCAGGTTCTCAGTCTGGTACGCACCCCTCCCGCCTGGGGTTTCCTGACAGCCGCGGTGTGAGTGCCTGTGTTCCATGCAGTGCATACTTGGACATGGGGCGCGAGGCAGGTGCATCATCACATGGCAGGCCCAGCCCCGACACTCGGGTGGTGCAACAGGGGTCTCCGCTGGCTGCTGGAGTGCAGGGGTGAGACGCAGGTGTACTCTACCGCCTGAGGAGAACCTGGTGTCAGCCTGAGGGTTTGGCTGCAGAGCCCCTGCCTGCCGCTTGCCCACCTCCAGCCAGGGTCCTCCACAGTGCCCTTGCTCGGGTCTGCACCCTCCAGGTGCCAACCAAAGCCCTCTAGAGCCCTGAGGCCCAGATGTCTCTGCCAGCCACAGCTCCGGCCCCACTGCTGCTCCCTGCATGAGGCTTAGGCAGGCACTAGCTCGGCCTGGCGCGGCTCTCCCTACTCGTGATGGTTGCGGAGGGGAAGCAGGACCTATCTGGCTCCTGCCGGCTGGTCAGTGCCTGTGCCAGGAGCATTCTCAAAGGCCACCTCCCTGAAGCCCTCTGGAGACCCCTGGCTCAGGGCTCGGGATGCCCCCGAAGCCTGCCTCCCCTACGCATGGACACCCTGGGTGTTTGGCTCTAGCGGGGCAGCCTTGGTTGGGAGTGGAACCTCACACTGTGGCCCGCATCAGCCTTGGGGCCATGCTGGTGGGAGGCTGCTACTGTCTGGTGCTGCAGCACAGGGCCACCCTGGGGTTGATCCTTGGGCGAGGGGTAGAAGCAAGTTGCTTCTGCCCAGCTCATTGGCCAGGCACCTGTGCAGCCCTGGGGCGGGCGCTGGGTGGCACTGGCGGCCAGGGAGAGAGGGGCAGGCTTAGGTTGTCTTTTATGCATGTATTTATCTTGGTTTTTTTGCGGCAGGGTCTCAATATGTAGTTCAGGCTGGCCTTGAACTCACAGCAATCCTCTTGCCTCAGCCTCCCAAGTGCTGGGATTAGAGGCATGCACCACCACGCCCGGCCCAGGTCCTGTCCTTTAATAGCATACCTCACAGGTGAAATAATGACTGTTCCAAGCAGGTGCTTCCCCTCCCTATGGCTGACAAGAGGAGGCGGAGCCTGGGGCCTCAGGGTCCAGGTGGAGGTGCTGGCAGCAACTTTAAGATGTTCCAGGAGGGTTTCTTAAAGCCCCTCTCTTGGCCAAAGGGTAAAGTGAGGCTGGGGAGCCATCAGGAGTGAGCCCTTGGGCACGGGATGCTCCGGAGGACACTGGGGTGGCACAGATGCAGCCCGAATGAGGGTCACTCTGGCCATAAATAGCAATAAATAAGACGTAAATAGGAGGCACTCCGGCCTGAGTCTGCATTCCTCCTGGCCCATCACGGGGCCGATCTGGGCAGGACGCAGGTGCAGCCCACGGGCACGCGGATGAACTCTGCGTGGAAGGCGAAGGCCCCGGGCATGGGGGAGCAGGGCCGGCGGCGCAGCACAAGCAGGCTCTGGTGCAGGGGCACAGAGTTGAGCGCGGTGGTCTCCTGGCCGGTCCTGGTGTTGATGCAGCCGCGGCACAGGCACTCAGCGATGGCCAGCTTCTGTGGGTAGCGGTCCTCGTCCACGTCCACACTGCAGGCAGGCGGTGAGGGTGAGGGTGAGGGTGAGGCTGCGCCCTGCCCGCCTAGAGCCCCGTGGCCTCGGCCGCCCCTCCCTGCCTGGGCCGGAGCAGTCCGAGCCCTGAGGCTGGAAAGGATCTGCCCTCTGTCCGTCAGCCCCTCACCGGTATCTCCAGGGCGAGATGGAGCGCTCGTGGGTATCCGCCTGCAGCACCTGCTCGGGCCTCAGTGTGGGGCACTGCTCCCTGGCTGGGGCCCATTTGTGTGGCCTCCTGGGGCCGGCTGCCTCCAGGCTGGGCACCAGGGCCACAGGCAGGGCCTGCTCCCACCTGGCACTTCGAGCCAGCAGGTGTGGGGGCACCTGGCCGTGGGGCAGCTCCTCAGCTGAGTAGCAGCGTGGGGTCACCCAGAGCGGGGCGCCTTGGTGGGCTAGGCTTTCAGGCAGCCAGGCCAGAAGCAGGATGCCAGGGAGGAGCTGGGGGCAGAGAGGGCGTGGTCAGGCCCTTGGAGGGGCCCCTCACCTCCATTCCCGGGGAAAGTGGGTGTAGCCCTCCCTCCAAACTCGGACACAGGCTGTCCAGGGAGTCTGGCCCCACGGCGACAGGCTCCAGGCCAGGCTGGGCTGGTTGCCTCTCTCAGACCCCTTCCTGGAACCCCACCGTGGGGTCGCAGACCCAGACCCAGGCTCAGGGGCACTGTCAGGCGGGGCCAGGTGGTGCCAGCTCACCATCATGGCTCGCAGCAGCAGCAGCAGCAGCAGCAGCAGCTCCAGCTTTGGCAACACCCTCAGTACACCTGGTGGAGGCCCTGGCCATGCACTCTTTATACCTGGGGCCACACCTGGGAAACTCCATGGCTTCCTCCGGGAAGTGCGGGCCCCACCTGTGCTTCCTCCTCTTGCCAGGCCCACCCAGCCTGCCCCAGGGACACTCCGTGGCCTGGCCAGGTTCCCTGGGGCTCTCAGGGCTGCCACCCATCCCTGGGCTGGCTGCCACCCTCCAGTGGGCAGGAACTCGCCCGCACAGCTGGGGACATGGAGGATGCTGTCCAAACCTGAGTCCCGGAGTGGCCCGGAGGTGCTGTGCCAAGACCCCGGTGTGTTCTTGTGGAGGGGCCCTCCGGGCAGAGGAGCACTGGGCCCGTGATGCTGCAGCTATCCCACCCGCCTCTCCTCTGGCCTAGTCTGTCTGGTGGTGCAGGGACACAATGGGTCACACTTGGGGACGCCATGAGCCCAGGCTGCTCCTGCCTATGGTCAACATTCAGCCACTCGTGTGCTTGCATACCTCCCGTGACGGGGAGCTCAGCATCAGCACAGGTGGTTTAGCACAACAGAAATGCATCCACATGTGGCTTGGGGCTCAGGCAGAGCCGGCAGTCTCAGCTTTGGACTCTGACTCACCTTGGCTTCTGCTGGCCTCCCTGCTCATCATATGGTTTTCACCTGGCTTTTCCATGTCCATCCTGGCCTGGCCCTTGCGTCAGGCTTGGTCAGTGTGCTCTGGGCACAGCCAGCCAGCCTCTGGCCCCACTGTGGTCAGCCTGGGGTCTCAGGTTCCGGCCCCTGCGTCCTAAAGCCTGCATTAGCCAGTGAAGGGACGGAGGGACGCAGGGGCCTCTGAGGAGCAGTGCTTTCCAGGCGAGTGGGCACCAACCCCTGCTGGGCCCTCAAAGGGCCCTGGCCATTCTCCGCCAGTCTCTTGCCAGGGTACTGCCCAGGGGAGGGGCCTCAGGCTGCCATGACTGAGACCAAGTGGCCCAGCTCTAAGCTGCGATGCCCAGACCAATGCCATGCTCCTGAGAGCCAGGGACGGACAGAGATAGAGACAGACACAGTCACACATAGAGACACAGAGGCAGAGATACCGACAACCAGCAGCAGCCGCAGCCCACACCAGAGACCCTGAGGTTGCCTGGGAAGTTCTTGTCACCCCCATAGGCAGCAGATAGGTGTGGCCCTCACTTCCTGGGACGCCTGGTCTGGAACACGACAGGTGGACAGCAAATGCCAGGTGCTACTGCCCAGGGCCTCATGCTCCTCTACACAGACCCAGGCCAGGGCTGGCGGCAGAGGTGGCCCAGTCTGCAGCCAGGCGCTGGGCCTTCAGCGATCCTCATGGGCTGGCCCTTGCTGTCCTTGAAAGCTGCCCAGAGGTGGGGCAGACAAACCTCAGGACGTGCCCTGGCACATGATGGCGTTCAAGGTAATGAGGCAATCATGTGGCCTGTGACGGGCACTGACGGGCTGGCCACACTGGCTCCCGGCTCTGCCCAGGCTCCCTGGCTACCACATACACCACAGTGAGGCTCCCAGGTCTGGCTGCACGGGGCAGCGAGTGCAGGGCTAGGGCCAGGCCCAGGCGGGCGCAGCTCCCACCTCTGCCACCCACTGCCACAGGCCCACCCTGACCTGCCCAGGGGAAGCATGCAGGTGCCAGCCCACCATGATGGGAAACTGAGGCACAGCATGACCTGGGGGCTGCGGGGACAGTCAAGGCGGAGACAGGAAGCCCAGCACACAAGCATCACCAGCACCAGGAAACTGCTTATCAAAATTTTATTTT